GTCCGGACAGATATTGAAAATATCACACGCATGGTGTTGAAGATATTGCCGTCGACGCCTTCGTCAAAATCGCAGTTGCCAAGACAGGGTTGTAGAAAAGAAGAGGCCAGGATCTGGTTGTGCCGGCCGGATGTAAGCTCGGTTCCGACTCGTCGGCGAGATTTTCGATTGCCTTCTCAAAGCACCACACAGTAGCGTGCGCAGAAGACAACCATCACCCTCCACGCAGCACCTTATTCGAGAACTGCGACGCTAGCAATCCGGTTTGTAAGGTCGACACGTGGGCGTGGTTCACCAATATGTGCCAACACGGCCGCGACGGCAGCGGGTCTGCCGACGGGATATCCTCCAAAGCCGTGATGCCTTGATCGGGCCGTCTGCTTTCCATGGGCGGCTCTTGCGCCAGCCGAAAAGGCATTCCAACCCGTCCCCATTCTCGCGATGGACGAGCCCGAGTAAGGTGAGCAGGCGGGGTCGTGAGTCAGTTGGCAACCTCTTTTCTTATCATGTCTCCGTCTGGGAGCAAACAGCACTATACCTGCGCCATCAACTGAGGGAAGAATGTGGATTGGCGCAGGAGAAGGGACCCTGACGGAAGACCCTGCCTCAAGGAAACCAACACCCGGTCTTGAGTAGAGATCCGCTCTTTGTGGGTTTGCGGAGTTGAAGCACAGTTGAGGAAAGCAACAATGCGAAGTATTCTGGGTGATCCATCCTCGCCGTGGAACAAGATGTCATCTAAACTTCTGTATTGCATGCCCGGCGGTTGCCAAGGAGGATGCATGTCGAGACACTGAGTCGGTCGCTCACGAACAAGACGAATCTGTCGTGCAAGCCAAGAAACATGCCACCTCTAGTGCGGGAAAGACGGCAGCGATAACGAGTATACGCAAGTCGAACTGTCGACTCAGTTGTCGTCCAGTCTTAGGAGACGAATTGCCACTTGATAGTTCCAATGAGGGTGAAAGCTCTATAGGTGACGACTACCACTTCAGACCTAGAGGTGTTTGGCTTCTTGCTGTCGGCCCAATGCCCTGAATGGTTCGTGGATTGCGATTTGCTCCCACTTTCCGTGGAGACCTCTCCAAGTGTGCGGCGGATGGCTGTTGAGATGGAAACGGCACCACCAGAATAGCACACTGCAACCGCCCTCGCACTGATTTCAGACGAGTGTGTGGACATTACCTGTCAGAAGACATTGGACGACCCCAAGTTGCGGAAATTAGGAGAATAACTGCTAGTGAAGAATGAGGAAAAAAGGAATGGGGATTGTCGACTTTGGATGACAGCCCGTTGCCGCTTGAATGTCCCTCACAATCTCCTCATCCAAGATTGATGACAGTACTGGATGGCGTAAATGTGGCGGGATGGCGGAAGCGCCAAGCAATGTGGTGAGGATCCCACATCCTGCGAAGGGCAAGCCCTACGAAAAGCCACTCTTGACGTCGCCGAAGGCTTGTCAAGGCTGCTCGCCGACCATGTAAGCGACCGTTTACCAGATTTTGACGAATAATTTTTCACGAACTCGAGAGCTTCTGTCCGGAAGAGGCGGCACATGGCTGCCAGGGCCACCAAATCGAGAAACTGGATGGTTCTCGAAGTGGCAAGCGAGTTCGGTTGAGACTCGGTCATGTCCGCTATAATTGGACATCGTAAGATGCATGTGTAGTGCGTGAGTTGAGATGCTCTTCTCCTGGTGGTACGTCAGTCTGAATGGCCGTTTGATCGACGGCGAGGACCGGATCAGCAGAGAGCGTGGGTCTCCCCGGACGGGCGGGAAGCCCAAGGATGCGGCAGGAAGAAAAGCAGTGACGGTCTTGAGCCCGCGCAGTCCCTCATCTCGGAGCAACCATCTTCCACCGGGCACGCGGTTTCCAGCCAGTTTTTCTTGGTGGGGGCGACGCAGCCAAGCTTACGGTTGAAGGTTACAACTAGTGCCCCAGACCACCAAGCCATCAATATCCGTAGGGTTGAGTTGTGGGAGATAAATTGCAGTGTTTGACAGCCAGTGGCACCGGACCCAGACTGGTGTCACTCTGCACTAGTCTTCGGGAAAATAGCGTCGCACTACTGACTAGTCTCTGAGCTTGTCCCCAAGTTGCCCGCTGTGCTGGAAATTGGAGTTTGCTGTCTTCATTGTCGTAAGGCGTAGTGGACGATTGGTGACCCTCTTTTTGCAGATCGTACCGGTCGTCAAAGTCAAAGAGGGGTAGCGAGTTTGTGAGCTATACGTAGTTAACGTGATGATCGTCGATATCGTGACGGACGCGCCATCAGCTGCAGGCGTCTGTCTCGTGGCGAGAGTGATGGGATCGCCCGCCCGTCCGTCCCCGCCATCGCTTCCGTCAAGCGACGGCGTGCCGTTCGTGCGTTGCCCTTCAACGGTTCGCGCAAAGTGCAAACCTCCCCATATCTCGTCGTATCTGACAGGTTGCGAGTCGCAACGCCGTCACATCTCCTGCGGGCCTATCAGACGTGACGTGCCAGACAGATCTGGGCTTGAGGCCGTCAAAGCAACGTACCCTAGCCGAAGGAGGTCTAGCCTGATGTAAGTGTGGAGAATGCAACAGTCTGTTCTTCGCGGAGCAGGGCTTCGAAAGGCATGGATCCCTGCTGTTGAGACCCGTCAGAGCCCCCCTGTGCAGGCTATCTCAGCTCAGATGACACAGCATCTGCCTCATCGCTCGAGAATCTGTGGAAACAGACGAACTCGATCACCCGAGAGGAGGCATTTGATTCGTCCAACAGGGACCGTTGGACGAGCAGCCAGTCTGGCAAACAGTCGTGGCATCCTGTCCGATGTTATCGTTCAGACTCGAGGGCATCTGTGGGTGTGAAGCGTCCAAGGGGACGACAACGACAGCCCTGGTAATGGCGAGCCCCGTGGCGACGAGCGACACGTGCAAAGACGAAGATAGCTGGTGTTGGCCATGGTCTCCGACTGGCAGAAACATCCCGTGGGCAGGGCTGTCGGGCTAGTGCGAGGAGGCCTGGCGAAGCCCAGTCGCCCTGCCATGGTTCTGTTTATCCGACTGGGCAGAGGACTGGACTTGGGCTTCGCCTTCGCCGTGCGCCTGGCCGCAGCGGCTCACTTGCGGCATAATTGTTGAGCTGCGGTGCGTGACTCGATTGGCATGCCGTCTGCCTGCGCCCCTCGCGAGAATCTAGGCACATATCAATTGTTGGCCACCACGTGAGAGAGGTGCGGTTGGATTGCCGATCGTGTGGACGGCCGAAGCTGTTCTGCCGGAGTGATGAGGCGATTCCCAGCACCCACAGCTTATCGAGACCACCACACCCACCTGTTTTCCAGGCACAGGAGACACACCAGACCAGACTGATATCAGAACGGATGGGCTGGCAGCAGAGACGAAGTTCGATTGGGTGGTGGTGGTGGGCAAGCAAGGCCAGGCACGCAGCAACAGCAGCAGCAGCAGCAGCAGGAAGGAGGAAGAGGGAACAAAAAAGGTTTCGGCATCGCCAAAAGCCGCCCCTTCCACAACCCCTGCGGCGGTTTGATCCACTTCTTTGGCAACAGCCACTAGGCCAAATCGGGAATAGCGACCAGAGGTTTTCTCCTAGTGCCCCCCAGATTTGGGGCTCAAGTCCAACGTCAAACCTTGTCTGGGCCAACCTCACAGCCAGGGGCTCAGGCATTTTGGGCGACACTACGAAACCCAGACGTGTTACATCACTGCTTCACCTCATCGCCACTCAATGCTTCAACACCAAGCCATCTGTGCTGCGCTATCAGCCTCGCCTGCCATGCCATGCCTGTCGTGCCTTGCCCTGCCTTTCCCTTCGCCCCCAACGCAAGGCAAGGCAAGGTAAGGCACACGGTGCGACTGCGACTGCGACGGCCAACGGCACGAAGAAGCCCACAGTTCTGCTGCTGGTTACTGCTGCACTGCGCTGCTCTGCTGACCTCGTACCGGGACACGAACATGCCCCCCTGCTTCTCGTGTAGGCCGTCTTCCACCACCACAGCCCTCACTCACACAACGTTGGTCGGCAGGGGGCATGAGTGACGAGAATCGCAGAGGACAAGGTACCAACCCAGCCAACGTTGGCGGGGTCGTGACGAACATGGTCGCCATCCCGCGTCCAGAGCCCTTGTCTCCAGCCACGACCTCTCTGACGAGGACCAAGACAAGCTACATCGCCGTGCCGTGGTTTCTCCAAGTCGTCTTCTAACCAGCAACATGCACGTCAAGCGACCACCCACCCCCATCAAAGCCCCCCTCTGCAGAATGCAGGACCGCCAGTTACGGGCCGAGCTGAGGTGCGGGCTGCTTCTCATTCGCCGGCTCGAGTTCGTCGACCCTCGTCTTTTACCTCTATCCTGGGCACACCAAGGACCCACGATCCATCTTCGTCCTCCCCTGTTCTGGCCCTCTCCCGTAGGCCACCCATCCAGCCGTGCTACCCTGGACCAAAGTTGGACTTGGGCCCCATCTAGCGGTTTGGCTAACTCTCCGGACCTCATCTGGCCCGCGCGGGGGCCCTTCCCGAGTCTCTCCCCTGCCGACCCCCTACTGGGTCTCGCCCGCGCTTCTGTGATCGCCTTTTGACCTCTTCATGCGGCCTTCCCTCTACCATCTGACTTCTGGAAGTGGTTTTCCCTTTCCTTCAAGGCCGGTCCCTTTCCCTTCTCTTGAGTGGCTGGTCCTATTGCTCCTTGTTTCTATTCGTAGGTCCCGACTTTGCCTAGTGCCTGTTTCGTCTGGTCCGCCCTCTTCGTCCAAGAGCGGCAGTCTTCTACAGTCCATCCAGTCTTTTCACCTACTCTTTTCACTTCTCCATCCCATCCGCACTCCATCTCCATCCATCCTCCTCTTCGCTTCTCACTCACTGCTACTACTCCTTAACTCTTCCCCAACGAGGACGTCTTCGACAGGTCTATGGATTAGATGGTTCGGACGGCGAATTAATATCTGGCATTGCTGCGGCTCGACGCCTGCACTCATCTCTTCGACATTGCCAGGTGAATAATCGACGAGATGGATAGCTGGGGCTGGTTGGAACCTCGCGCCGAGGGCGACGTTACGAGCTACGATGGCGACGCTTCATTACGAGGCCCCTACCGGGCAACGAACGCTTCGACGTCGGCTTTGATCAACCAATTCCGCTTCCAGGCGGCGAAATCGATTCGAACCTCGACCATCATCCTCGCCGTCTTCAATGTTATTGCTGCATTCGCTACAGCAGTTGGTATCTTCTGGGATGGCTATGGCTCGAGAAAGAGGAACAACCCAAAGTTTGGCTTCAGAACACACGGCTTTACATTCGTTGGACCTGCCGAGTCTTTCCCGCTTGTTCTGTCTGTCGGAATCGTCGTTCAGGGCATTGTCTTCGCAGTCGCTCAGTCGACTGGACTCGACCACCTTTTGACTCTCGGCTGCACCATCACTTCTCAGATGATGTTGCCTGGTATGTTCTATCGAATCAGAGTGGGCTACGTGAACGTGGCTAACAATTGGCAGCCGTCTTCATCGTTCCCTACATTCAACTAGTATTTGCTCTCGAAGTGGCCATTCGGTCTCTACGAAAGAACCCCTTGCCTCCCCGTGGCAAGTGGAACGTTACGATTTGCCTCGCTATCGTTGGCACTTTCCTTCTTATTACCTACCTCGTCACTCTATTTATCCGCCCTCCGAACTTTTGCTTCGCCTCGCTCTTCTGGTTCGTCCAGCGATGGAAGGAGGGCTGCTTCGCACTTCTCGTCTTGATCTCGGCGGTGTTGTTTGGCTGTGCTATGATCATCTTCTTCAGACTTCACAACAACTCGAGAATCGAGAACGCTGAGCGCGTTGCTGCTTCAAGGATGGTTTACTTCCTGGCGGTCGCCTTCATTTCGACCGTAAGTCCTTTTCAGTCAACCCAACCCGCTCATCTGCTAACGTCTTCTCACAGACCCTCCTTATCCCATTCTTCTTTAACCTTTCCTTTGTTGAGCAGCGAGGTGCCACTGGCCAAGCTCTCACTCTCTCTATGATTGCGTCAGTCGTCGCCAACGTATCAGGCCTATTGACTGGCGGCCTTCACCTATTCCTGCGTTCAAACACCTTGTCGACTATCGGCCCCCGCGATAAGTGGGAGTCTGAGCGTAATAAGCTCAAGGCCGGAATTAGGGTCTGGGCTCCTAATGGTGACGACGATTACGAACACCACATGATGAACCCCGTCGGCAGGGCACGGTCTCTCCAGCGTATGGACAGCACCGATAGCCTCGTCCCCGAGAAGTATGAGGAGGCTCGCATCGAGAGCCCCTCGAACTCACCCACCTATGCCAACCCCCTCCGATCGAACGCCGTGTACCCCATCCAGCCGGCTCCCTCACCCGTGAGGGTGCCTGAGCCTGCACAGGTCTCAACCTACCAGACTCCGAAGGCCATGGGTCACGCTCGCAAGAGGTCATACTCCTTGTTCCCTCCCGAGCAGAACAACAACACCAAGTCTATCACTTTGCTTCCCGCCACTACCTATTCCCCCAACCCCAATAAGAACGACGAGGATGATGTCTTCTTCTTGAGGCCGCCTCCGTCAATTCACCCACAGGGCATCCGCCACCGCCGCGACTCTTCAATGGCGTCGTCGGCGACTGTGCAGATTGGCCTTCGCCTGTCAAACGTCGACGACATGCCCCCCCTCAACTCTCGCTACTTTGAGAACAACAACAGCGTTACAGCGCTGGATTGTCCCAACGAGACTGAGGTCCCCAAGCGGCCCAGCCCCTTGGCTCAGGTCGACGTCGTCAGCGACAGCAGCTCTTCTGACTCTTCCGACTCTGAGGACGAGGACAACACCTTGGTGCAGTCCCCTGTCCGATCTGAGAAGGATGTTCGGATGAAGAACCTTCCTGCTGTTCCCAAGGTTGCTGTGCCCAGACAGTCTCAACTGAAGCAGGACGAAGGCCAGCTCACTCTGAGCCCTGCTGTCTACAGGCCTGAGAGCCCTCAAAAGACAAGAGTCACAAGCCCTCAGGGCGTTGGCTTCAACACTCCTGCGCGAAAGCCTTCTGTTCCCGCCAAGTGCACGAAGCGGAACTGCCAATGCGATCTTCCTCACGACAAGCGTGACTGGATCTAGGCACGTCAGCTGACCGCATGAGGCATTCTACGGTGTTCGGAAGCGATAAAATAGACATGTCTAAACGATGGGCGGTAAAAAGCGATTGATCCGACCTTTCGGCCACAGAACGGAGTTGTTGGCGAATACTTTCTCTTATATTTTATATTTCATTGGATGGCGTTTCTTTTGCGGAGATACCTGTACGACATATACGTCTACATATTGTTTGGTTTCTTATCTCTCTACAATGCAAATTGGTGCATTGTGTACGATCTGGGATGACGGGCTATCATTGGAGAGTGTAGGATTTCGGGGCGGGATGGTCCTCCAAGGCATTTTGTCTCTAGGACAAGCACGACGGCACGATTAGCTACGAGACGGATTTGACATTGGCGGGCGGAGGTAAAATGGTCACAAGAAGTAGGCCTCTCTCATAGTGCAGCTACGATAGCTCAATGGATAAAGAGCTCAAACAACCTTGACCTAAGACGAGTAACGTGAGACACGTGCGATTGGTGTCCGTTTCATTCCGCCACAGCTGCATTCCACGTGCTTCAGATGCGTTAAATATGTGCTTCGATTGCAGATAACGTATGATTCCATGTATGTATGTCTCGTGTCCGCCAATGTGTCACCTCTTCTTCTGCTTCTCGGCCTCAGCCGCCTGCTTTTCGGCCTCAACCCGCCTCTCCTCCCATTTATCCCACCCAGCCTGGCACGGGTCTTCTTCAACCACCAAGTCCCTGAACCGGAATACCCGTGCAATTGGTAATTGTAAACCCCAGCTCAGCAGTCCCGTATCCCTGGCAATGGCCGTGATCAGAAACCATCCCACAGCCGTGATCGATCCAGCCAGGCACCCGACCAATACTTGCCTCACGGTGTGATAGTCGAGGTACACGCGGCTCCACGCAACGGCGGCCGCGATGACAAGGGCCACGCCACTAACGACGACACGCTCGATCAGGGAGTACGGCCGGTGATGCCTCCGCGCGGGCGAGGGGCGGTGTCTGACCATGAGGAACAAGACAAGGAACACGGACCAGTAGGCGACGAACTGGGCGTGGGAGCTTGGCATGCCGTAGCCCTTGCCGTGGATGCGGCGTGGGCGCTCCTCTTTGATCAGGCGTTTGAGGGCAAAGTTCAAGGCCTCGCAGCCGAGCTGGCCGGCGAACATGAGGGCTATCTCGGCCTCGCGGGTCGACCAGATCAGAGTCGCGTAGACGATGCAGAGGGCTTGTGGGAGGAGGGCGAGCCATGCGCAGAGGAAGGAGAGGGGATCTTCGGGGTCCTGTGGGATTCTTCTGTCAGTGTTGTTCCTCTTTAAAGGCAAGAGTCGAGCCTTTGGCAGCTGCGGAAGTGCGGAGAAGCTTACATAGTAGACGTGGGTGAGGGAGAGAGAAGCGAGTGGTCTCGTGTCTTGGTCCATGGTGTCCGCTTCGCAGCTCCGATTGTTCTTCCAGCCACGACTGAGAGCTTACTGCTGCGGGAGTTTCTCCGGGGGATTGGGGGGGTTCTTATTGCTCGATAGCAAGTTGCCATATGCGTCGACAAAAGGACTGGTCCGCGTGAGGCAGTAGAATTTTGCGAGTCGGGCCCAGGGGCTGGTAAAGTTAGAGCAAATGTCGCGGATCGTGGTGCACAGCGCCCTAGAAATGTCAAAGTGCTAATGGAGCCCGTTGCGCTGCGCTGGCCGTTGCGCTGGCTGGCTGTTGCGCTCCATGCTGCTAGTGCTGTCCACGGGTGTGCTGTATCTGCTGGACACCTGCCACTCGCAATGGACCGCACTGCCCCTGCTTCTCCAATATTTGCATAATACGTCAGGATGCATAGCTCCATGCTCGGGCCAATCGGGAGGCTTTGTGCCCCACGCTTGTGGCTTGTGGCTGACCAGGCCTGGAACCCCTCCGTCCCTCCTTTCGTCACCCGGCAAAGAATTCCAGAAGGATTGCGGCGGCTGGTCGGAGGGTCGGAGGGAGGGACTTGAAGACCGGTGCCCCCCATTCTTTTTTTCTTTGCCCCGCGATGCAGTGCGGCAAAAGAGTCATCATTTTTTGATTAGCAACTCGGTCAGCCGTTTTTGTACCAGGCATTCGCGAGGACCCGACGCCTCAGAGACCACACGACCACCACTGGCTGCTCAAGCTCGTATAATGTGCTTGTCATAACCAGTCGCTCTTCTCGCGGATTCCGCGACCATTTCTTCTGTCTCAATAATACCACCTCCATTGACCGACTTCGCCACTGCTTCCCGTCGTTGCTGATATACTTCGCGCTGCCCGTCGCTGAAACTGTGAAGAGCACTGAACTTTGACCAAGTTTGCAGTCTCACACTCTGACTATTTCCGGCGTACACTGCGCCTTAATCTCGCATGCGATCGCACCGGAAAAGTATGATAGTCGTCGTCTCCCACAGGTAGCAGTCATGGACGCCGATAGCGACGACCCGCGCGACGATGAGCTCAGCTCTCTCCACGCCATCTTCCCCGAACTCGAGCCCGATGACCAGAACCCGTACTCCTTCTCCATCGAGCTCCCCGTCCACCCTGCGAAGCCCGTAACCGTCACCTTCCCGGCCGCCTCGAACGCCGACGTTCCCGTTGCGGCGCAAATCCCCGGCGTCGAGCCCCGCGTCGAATCCCACGAGCTGTTCCACCTGCCATCCGTCGTTGTCCGCATATCTTTGCCACAGGGCTATCCCTCAGAGAAGCCGCCGAGTGTCAGCATAAGCACGTCGCCACCATGGCTGTCGAAGGAGGCCACCAGGAAACTGGAGGATGACGGCCCGCGGTTGTGGGAGGAAATGGGCAGGGACATGGTCGCCTTCACGTACATTGATCATGTGCAACAGGCCGCCGACGACGTGTTTGGCATGGTGGACGGGAACGGAGCGCTGGAGATTGACCCGCTTCACAAGATCGCCGTTTTGGACTACGACATCGAGGCTACTCGGGCCGCGTTTGCAAAAGAGACCTTTGACTGCGGCGTCTGTTTAGGTGCGCTTGTCCCTCCCCGAGGCCGTCGACGCGCCGGCGCTAACGTTTGAACAGATCCCAAGAAGGGTTCAGTCTGCCACAAGATGCTCGACTGCGGGCACATTTTCTGTACCCAATGCTTACAGGAGTTCTACGATAATGCCATCACAGAAGGAGACTTGGCCACCGTTCGCTGTCTTGCCCCGAACTGTGCAAAGGAGCGCGCGGAGACGCAAAGCGCCTCGGGGAGAACGAAGAAGCGCAAGGTCAAAACCGCCATCAGCCCGAGTGAATTGCTACAGATGGGCCTGTCCCAAGACACGGTAACCCGCTACGTGACGCTCAAGTACAAGAACGAGCTGGAGTCGGACAAGAACACCATTTACTGCCCTCGATCATGGTGCAACGGAGCTGCGAGGTCGAAGAAACACAGGAAGCCAGACGGCCTGGAGGACGTGGAAAGCTCTGACGAGGAGACGGACGAGGAAGGCCAGGGAACTGACGGGAAGCAAAAGACGAAAAAGACGTTTGACGTCGGCGACCTCTTGGCCATCTGCGAAGACTGCGGCTTCGCCTTCTGCAGTCGCTGCTTCCAGTCGTGGCACGGGGAGTTCTTCCGCTGCACGCCCAAGCGCGACAAGGAGGAGATGACGGCCGAGGAGCAGGCGTCGATCGACTACATCAACCTACACACGACGCCGTGTCCGACCTGCGGCGTCCCGGCGCAGAAGACACACGGCTGCAACCACATGATCTGCTTCCGCTGCGCCTCCCACTTTTGCTACCTCTGCTCCGCCTGGCTCGACCCGCGGAATCCCTATGCGCACTTCAACGAGCAGCCCAACGGGAAGTTCACCTCGTGCTACATGCGGTTGTGGGAGCTCGAAGGCGGAGACGGCGATGATGTGGATGTCGGGTTCGCTGGCGGCAGGCAGCAGCAGCAGCAGGCTCCGCAGCCCGTCGAGGTGATTGATATCGTTCCCGAGATCGAGGAGCCCGACGACACCGAGTCGGAGGATGAGGCGGACAACGCTGTCCAGGAACCACGGCCTCCAGCAGGCGGTGTTGCGCGGGAGGGGCCACTCGTTCTTCGCATCGGGGCTGACCCAGCGCCCCGAGGGGGGCGAGGGGGAGCTGCCGCCGGCATAGGCCAGGGCCCTATCCCGCCCGCTGCTCCGATAGCACCAGCACCACCGGCCCGCCGAGGAGGTCATCAACCGCGAGGCGGACGCGGTCGAGGGAATAGGGGTGCCATGGACGGTCGAGGAGGTCGTCGGCAGAATCAACAGAGGAACCCGAACCAGAACCAGGCCCAGCGGGTGCCTGTTGCAGGAGGCGGAAATGGCGCTGCAGGAGTAATCGGCGATGGGGAACTCGACCCCCAGCACGAGGCTTGGATACGGCATTTTGTTCAGATGGCGTTGATGGATGAGGAAGACAGCGATGACGATTCATGATAGAACGGGGTAGGAGTATTTGCACATACCAGACCTCAGAGATGTCCGCAGAGACTGGAACTGATTACTATGAGGGAAGGCATGTAAGCCGTAGCGAATTATTGCATAGGACTAGAGCATGATGAATACTTGCACCATTGAGCTGGTATACGATAATAATCCTAGGCGACCCGGTACGTGTGGCCATGTAGAAGTGCTGGACTGCTTTCACATCGGCAAAGCCTGGTTAACACATTTTTAATACCACGAGCCACGTCTTTCCCGCTGTAGATGAAGCCCACTTTGCGCAGCCGTACTCATCTTTACAGACAGACGGGGCAGCCCGCCCTCCTTGTGTCATTTGGAACTAAGGTCTGCTACCGGTCTCATTGCAGATGGGCACCAGTGCAACGCTCCCAACGAGAACACCATAACCTTTGGCATGCATCCAGGTTTGCTGAAATCGCAGCAAGATCATGTTCAACCTCGGATGAGGTAAGCCGAGCAAGTCACAGCCTCAATCAAACCGCTCCAGAGATGTGATGACTACACGGTCAGGGGGATCGACCCAATGCCGCTCAAATTGTTTCGGTCATAAATCATAGACACCTCTTCTGAAAGACCACCGGACAAGACCGATGAACGCCTTTGTGCTACTCATCGCCGCTGTCAGAAGAATCCCCAGATTCATCTGCCTCCTCACCACCACCACCTGCAGCCTTGGCCTCCTTCGCCTTGGCTCGCTTCCTCAACTTCTTCGCCCTATTCAGCCTCTTCTTCTTCTCCTTCAGCGCCTCCTCCTTGCCCATCTTCGCTTGCGCCGCCTCCTCGGCCTTCTTCTTCTTCTCCCGCTCCTTCATCCTCAGCGCGATCCTCTTCTTCTTCCCCGGCCGCCTCCTCCGCGCCGCCTCCTCGTCCTCACCTCCTTTTTCTGCCTTTTTCGTCTTGCCGGGGATCGTCGTCACGCGCCACGGCATCTCCATCCCCCACCACCTCTGCTTCGCCCGCTCCAGCACGTCCTCCCCCGACACCGCCGCGGCCGCGAACTCCTCCCTCGCCGCCGCCGACGCCTCTTCCGCGACGTAGTACGACAGCGGCCTCTTGCGGACCATGTCGCCGTCGCCCTCCATCGCGCGCTCGTCCTCGTCGACGAGCGCGATCTTGGTCGCCGGCGCGGTGGAGAACAGGCGGAACTCGAACTCCTCGGGCTCGGCCGGTTCGTCTGCTGCGGCATCTCCCATCGCGGCGTCCTCCTCTTCCGTCGTCTTGTCGGCGGCATTCTTCTTCGGCGTCGGCGCAGGTTGTTCGAGGCTGCCCAGGTCGATCATGCCCGCCATGCGGGCGTGCAGCTTCGCCAGCAGCTCCGCATCCTGCTCGTCGTCGCGGACCGGCGCCTCGTCTTCCGAGTCGGACTGCAGGTCTTGCCTCCGGACCCTAACCACCCCAACAACAGTCAGCGTCGCGTTCAAGAGTCGAAGCACCGGGCGACGAACCTCTTTGCGTCCGGGAGCTCAAACATGGTTGCTGGGTGCTTTGTGTGTTCCCTTCGGTGTGTGTCTCGTGCAGAAAACAACGATTGCCGGCCGGTGGTCCCGTGTTTGTGTTGCGTCGTGGGTATTTCGATCGTCACCCCTAGAACGGCGTCCGAGCAGGAGCTATTGAATTTCTTCCCGACCGAAAGGTGCGGCTGAACAGCGGAATGGGACCGCCGACCGTCGCACCCCAATTGGCGTCTCCAATTGAGATTTTTCGCTTCGCTAAAAGTGGGAATAACGGAGTTGGCTTATCTTATCGCCCACAGCGCGGGGACCACCCGGGCAGCCAGCTCTCCACCAGCAGTGACAAGATGCCGAGGCATGTCTGGCGAAACCGATCAAGAGTATTTAGCCCACCTTGACCTCTCCCTCCCTTCACCAACAGGATTGCCCGTCTCAGTTTCCCGTGGAATATTTATTGTAGTGGTTGTTGAGTGGCAGTTGATGTGGACACACGACGAGAATCCTACGGCCGTAAAAGCCACCACGCATAGAAGAAACGCTACGGACGCAGGTAGACACAACGCAGCAGCCCCTCCTCCCCTCCGGCTGCCACAACATGTCAAAGCAAGCTGCACTGCAACTCAAATCCGAGCCCTGGGATGTATGACAACAACGTGGCCACCGTCCTCGTTTCTTTACTGATATACTGTCTCACATCCAAACCACATGGCAGCCGCATCCCTTCCGCTCCGCTGCCTTGGCGTCCAGCCCCGGCGAGTTCAGCTCAGCTCTTCAGGGGAGGGGTGTCAGTCCTCAACGCCATGTTAGTAGGTGAGGGGCGGGCCGGGGTTCGGGTGGCTGCTTGCCTGCTTGCTTGCTTTCCCTTCCTGCTTGGAGATTTACGACGAACTCCCCGAAGGAAGAACCACTGTCCCAACGCGCCGGTTCCGTGGTGTGTGATGTGCATGGCTTGCTTGTTCCTCGTCGCGTTGGTTCCCCTTCCTTCTGACCACGAACACCCTTGTCCACCCCTCATCTCCCTTGACAGGAAGTGTGGGTGGTGTGGGTTACGTGTGTTGGTGCACCTTTGACAGGTGACGGATCGTCATCATCACCAAATTCGGGGCGGACCCTCCCCTGCCTACCCGATCCCTCGGGCCCGAGCAGAGAAGCAAATCTCCCAATCCGACCTCTTGGTAAAATGAGAACGAAGAAAAAGCAGAACCAACGGGAAATACGCCGCCCTCACACATTGACACACGCCCCTCTTTGTTCCTCCGAGCCCCGCCAGTGATGAATGATTCCGCTCCCATTCAGCTGAGGAGCAGTTCGTACTACTTGCCCAAAAAAGCGCCGAAACGGGCATCCCGCTCGCTACGCCCCGTTGGACCGTTGGAGGTCTGTGGCTTACCGCGATGCAACGTCCAACGACGCGCAAGCGGCCTGCTGTCCCTTCCTCCGCAGCAGGAGCGTAGCCTGCGCTGTCCCCCTCCCTCTCTCCTCAAAACAGGGGGCAGGAAGGGGAAGACAGCGAAGTGGGTGGGTTCTTGATCCATGGAGTGAATCCTACGGGAGATGGGAACAAGAGGAGTACAGGAAGAGGAGGGGAACGAACCAACAGCACGACGAAACAGTGACAAACCATGCAAGATAAAACGCAACGCACACCATACAACGACGACATATACGATCTCCGGTGCATTGGTTCCCACCGCACGTGGGGTCTCCCGCTCCGCGCCGGCCACCGCCGCCGCCGCCGGCAACGCCAACGCCAACAAACGGCGCCAGGCTAGTCTGCCCAGACTATTGGAAGAGGGAGGGAGGGAGGGGGGTGGGTGCGGCGAGCGTAACGGTATGTAAGGCAAGGTGACGAGGTGAGATGAGATGACGATGCGCCTCCGCCGTTGGTGCGCGTGAGCGACCAACGTGCTATGCTGTGTTTGTGTGAGTGGGAACCCGCCCAACCTTGCGAACGCCCGGCGAGGCAGGCAAGGTAATTTTAGGAGCCAAAGGGAGGGAGGCTAGAACCGGGTCAGACGCAAGCACACAATGGACGAAAGTACCTCGTGGGGTTTTGCTTGCGGTTGGCGTTTGTGTTGTGTACCAACAGAACTCGAGGTTGTTAATAATACATAGCCCTGCCTGCCCTTCTCGTACCCGGGTCCGGTCCCCCCTCTCTCGCACTACACCGATACACACGATAATCCCCAATACGAGCTTCTTGTTTCTCCAGGCGGGGAAAAGTTGAAGTGGGCTGAGAGGGGCGGCAGCAGGAAAACATGCGATGGGGAGAAAAGCTTTGGTCTCTGTCTCATCGCTTTGCGCATTTTCTGGGCATTTTTTTCTCTTCTCTCTGTCTCACTAAAAAGAGGATCACTTCTTCTTATTCCTTCTCTTTCCTCCTCCCTCCTCCTCCCTTCCCCCATCTAAGTTGAAAAGTAAAACAAGCCAGCCTAATCCAAATTTCCCTCCACCGAAGTTTGCGCGCACGCATAACATAACAATGTAGGTCGCCGCCGTCGTGCGAGCAACATTGGAACCCAAAAACGAGACGAGGCCAAGCCAAACAAAAAGGCGAAGCCAATCCACCCATTCCCAACCGACCAAAAAAACAAAAACCAACATGACTGCCCACACCGTCTCGTCTTCACCGCCTGCCCCGGGTCTCGAAAGTTACCAGTAGGTTGGGTCGCTCCCGTGCTGAACAAATCAGCTGAACGCTCGGCCATCCCTGGCGTTCGGGTGGCGGAACTCAACCGCCGCAGCGGGATGAGGCTCTTTTCTGGACGTCGTGCCATCCCAGGCTTAGAAGACTTTATCTCTCTCTCCCCTCAACACCACAAAATACCGCCATCGTCGGCGCACTCCAGAAATCAAAAGAGGATGCCGGTTTGAAGACCACAATGCCTTTCATTGCTTTCCTTGCCCCGATACCCGGCGCTCGACGCGTCCCAAAAAATATAAAGGAAAGTAAAATACCATACACATCGTAATGTAACCCGCCCTCCCAATGTCGCAGCACGGCCCGGAGCCGGTGATACAAGCGTCCGGCCAGAGCATCCGACGTCAATGCTATCCTCCGTGTGGTATCGAAATGCCCAGCCACTAGACAATGCCCGTCTCTTGACGCCGATCTCGACCATCTCGTTGCTGCGCCTACCCAATTATGCTCGGGTCCGGTCTGTCATGAAACATAAAAATAAAAAAGGGACGTTGCCGATGCCGAGCTGATGGTGTGGGGGAGAAGCCCGCCGGGGCCCAAGGTCCATCGCATCCTACAATGGACTGAAACCCCCGTTTGTTTGGAACTCCTTAGCTTCGTCATGGCCTCAAAGAACTGAAACTTCTCGCCGACACAAGAAAAAACAAAGCAAATAACATCCCAAACTCAAATCCGAACCGCAATCACTCTCTGTCTCTCCTAGGCCTCGAATCGAAGGGTATG